CCCAACAACGATATCAAACTCAAATAAGGCAGTATGTAGCGCCTTTCTTTCACTTAGACTTATTACGCATCAGCGTTTTGAGTTTTCGGCTCAAAGGAAAATTATCATCCAGGCGGATCGCAAATTAAAAGGATGTCGAGTTGATGTTTACTTGTTTTAATAATTAACTCGTAACTCTCCTCAAAGTTTTAGAATTTAGAAAAACTAACAGAAACTAGGCGTAGAATTGCGGACTTGTTCAATGGTTTCGGGTCCATAAATGTGTACGTAATTTTTGTGCGACGTTTTGTGAGCGCATTTTGTTGCACACCCGCAACTCCTTTGTAGAAGAATGCGCAACTCTTTCTCCTGCACCTGCAGACTGTTCTATTATTATGACATAAAGGCATGAGCTCAATCTTTAAACACTAAAAAACTCTTCCTTCGAAACATGGGTTTTCACGTTAGTGAAAGTGAGTGGCAAATATTGAAATGAGATGAGCTATGAATAAGGAGCCGCCCCAGGTGAGAATGCAAAACTTTGGCGGCGGTTTTAAAAAAGCTAGAATGTGCAGGGCTACAGCAACGATCAGGTCGTGGAAAATGCCCATAAGAAAAAGGGTATTAGGTGGAATTGTGGATCATACTTACACAAAATGTCATTTCAATAAGGCTGTCGATAATCTTTCGATAGACTAGCAGAAATCCAAAAGTTTCATAATCACATTATTTGAAAGTTCGCACTCCTTACCAATTACACGATAGAGGAAGAAATGTAGTGAAATATGTATCAAAAGAATAAGGGAGAAAGTACAACAAAGTGTAGATTTTCTTTCAGAAATATCCTGCATCAACCTGCGATCCTTTTGGAAAGCCGAAACGAGACAGCGGCACAGATTGTTGGTTTCACTGCTGTGTGAGTGTCTCCATATATCAAAATGTTCTTGAAGAATTTAGCAGAAATCTCGGAAATCTCATCGTGGTTCTCGTTCAGTACCCATTTGAGTTTTTACAAAAAATAATTTATAGTATGCGATCAATTACAAAACGTGGCTATTCCTCGGAGCGGTTAGCGAAGTAGAGACCTGTGATCTTCCGGAGGATTCCTCCTGCAACACAGGTGATAAAACACCAATGCAATTACATTTTATACACTTACTTTGGCAGACTGGCATATTTTACAGGAACGGATTCAAGTGCACACACAGCTTATTTCGGTACTTCTCAGGGTAATTACGATGGACTCAACTGTGGGTTGTTCCAGACGTTTACTGTTGCTTGATGAATTGCCGCAGAAGAATAAAGTTATCGCTACCTCTGTGAACTTCCTTTTTACAAGTTTAAAATAGTTTGTGCATAAGTGTAGTCTGAAAATGCATTTATCAACTTATCTATCAAACCACATGTTGCTTAGATTTTTCAAATCTATCAAAAGAGAAAAACGATATGTCGACAGATGGTTTCTCATTTGCGGCCATTTGCGATAGTGCTCTTCCGATTCCAGGAGCAACCTTGAAAGCATTGAATGTTCCTCTAAATCTGCTTGCTAATGGTAAAATAGCAAACTTTGAATCCGCTTCCAGAACATCCGCCACCAATCAGAATGTTTTTGGCACCTTGGTAGTGCCCGATCACATAGTGATTATCTTCAGATACCTGCATTTTCAACTCAGTACTTGACTTTACTTATTTCAAACGGAGTGAAACTATATATGTATACCGTGTATTTGCACTTATCAATGTGTGCTGGAGCCCTGGAATCAAGAATTGGAATGTGTTTTCGTATAAATTCGGCTGGGTGGTCGACGAACTCCTGTAAATTTGTGAGTTGACATTGGAGCACCACTTCATCGAAAAGCGGGTAGAAGCTCACCTGAGAGATAGTCTGCGGATGAGTTGGGCCATCGATATGCTCACCGCTATGGAAGCAAATCTAAGTGATATATGTCTATGCGAGTCTAAAAAAGTTTTTGATACCTTCGCACATCCTGCATAATCTACTGCAGGCAAACCATAAAAACCAAATGGTAAACCGCCATCGCTGTGAGCTATGAAAACGGGAAATTTGTCGCCTTCAAGTAGTGGTGTGTCATCCCTACGAGCAGCTTTCCAGTAACAAACCGCTATCGACTCCGGCTAGAAAGTTGAAGATTTAAGAATAGCGATATTTGCAGTTTGCAAACACATTCACGACGATCCACTTTTGGGATACAGGTCATTTGAAATTTGAAACTTAAGGTTGATTGTGAAATTTTGACGCGTATCTCCGCAAACTTGGACACAAATTACCGATTTTTAAGGGTGGTATTTACGGTAAGTAACTACAGATAAGGGTCTGGAGAAACTAATTTCTCATTCAGAGATCCTGTGTATCTCATCTCATTTTTACGCAAAAAAGTTCATTCATTTTTTGGAACTTAGTTATTTATTTGCTATTTGTGCTCTTCTCGCAGGAAACTATACATATAGTCGAGTCATTTTCATATGATCATGTATGTCACTGCACACACTTTACCTTTGGCGTCCCCATCCTGGAATTGCAATCGCAAAAA